CACGGGGAGAACATGGAGACTCCACGTAGAAAGATCCCGGGTGTCCTCACCGGGACGCCAACCGGCGACCTTCTAGCTGCGAGGCAACGATGCTCACCACCGAGGCACCATGCAGCCCCAAAACTGATAATTCAAATTTATAACCATGAAAGAACCAAAATCCACGATTGCTTTTTTTTGTGACAAAGATACACGTGTTTCATTGATTTCATCATCGACAATTCAGAGTTACAGGAGTCATTGGAAACTCAAGATATTTTATTTATAATGCGGGGAGGGAGCATGCTCGGAGTTTGCTCATGCAACCAAACTTTGCATTTTTGTAAGAGCTTTTTTTATGGCAGTTTGCATCTACTACAGTTAAAACTATCACTATTCAGGGCCGCCGCTTTAGCTCACCTGGTTGAGCTGGCGACCCACGTACAGGGGCTATAGTCCCCGATGCAGCAGCCATGGGTTCGAATCCTGCTCATGGCGCTTTGCTGCAACCCCTTCCCCACTTTCCTGTCTCTCTTTTGACTGTCCTATATAGGCCAAAAAAAAAAAAACTTTAAAAAAAAAACCTATCAGTATTCAACTGAGATTCAATTCAGTCTTCTCAAAGCTGGGTTGTTTGAAAGTGCAACCCAAAGCAGGTGGTGAACGCCCTCTAAGGCTACAAACCAAAAAGGTGTTCTTGTCTGAAGAACAAAAACTTTGAATCTGGAGAGCTTGGTGTATCTCTGGTGGCCCGATGCACTGAGCTCCTGTCTTGTTGTAGTTGCTGACACTGGTCCACTGGACAACATACAGTTTTCTCCTAAAGCTTCAACACCAAGTGGAGGAAGTTTCCCTGCGTCACCTGCTGCCTCCTGATCACGTGTCACAAAGCCCGCTCTGATGTGCACCAAGTAAGCTGGCTCGTAAATAACACGCTGCAGCCCTCAGAGTCCAATTTATGACTGAACTCCTGCAACTTTCCTGTGTTAAATCAGCGAGGTTCTTCTTCTGCTCTCTCTCCTCTCTCAGGATGAGAACTCTCAGAACAGACCGGCGCGTTGGCCTTGCTAAATAAATGTATAATATTTTCTCCTGCTGCCAGTCGCCCTGCTGGAAAACACTGTGTTAGACTAATCTTTGCACTCAGAGATACCACCTAACCCGCACCCCATCCCTCATTCCAGTGCAGCGAGGACATTTTTGAGGTAGTGGTTTTGCACTGGTGAACTGGGACTGTAGGGGGGCACTCACAATTTAATATGAAGTTGAGAAAATTGTCAGCAATGAGATTCCAGGGGATAAAATTGCTGGCTGGATGGAAAAGCAATCTTGGGCACAACCAGGGACGATGGTATGTGGTATGAGGCCTATCATATTGTGAGTAACTCCTCCTTCCAACGTTTCAAAAATAATTGCACAAAAGACTAAAACTCCACTTATTTTCTAATGACCATCTCCTCTTGCAGTCGAGAAAAAGCAACAGCAACACGGCGATGCAGTTTTTAGCGATCGTGTCGACTACTAACGCACAGAAAAAAATCCCCGGAGAGCAAACGTTCAGGCGGTGCAGCTCAGTCACAACTCAGGTACGATACAGCGCTTCTGAATTACAGCATCTCTGTCAGTGAGTCTCACCTCAAAGTAGCAGTTTCCCTTTGATAAAGGATGGCCAGCCACATAGCAACCCACTTCTTCAGAGTTCCCTTGGTAACTAAAGAGAAGAAATTACAGGTTAACAATAGGTGAGTTCTAATAGACGTCTCATCTCACAGAAACTCCTCGTTTGATCAGAGGACGTGCATCGACATGTGCAACAGAAATCAGACGACACAACGGGCAGCATTCACAACGAAGACAATGAAGCGCTGATTTTGATAAATGTTGNTTATGCAAACCTTGACAGCGTATTTTACATGCACAACCAGTTTAATTCAGTTTTTTGACATATTTGTTTATTTGATAATTAATTTAATTCATAACCAATACATTGCTAGATAAGAAATGTCCATCCATCCATCATCGATACACCGCTTAATCCTCACTAGGGTCATGGGAGTCTATCCCAGCTGACTCAGGGTGAAGGCAGGTTCACCTGAACAGGTAACCAGTCTATCGTAGGTAAGTCCAATTAACCTCAACATGTTTTTGGACTGTGGGAAGAAAGCCGCAGAACCCGGAGAGAACCCACCGGGAATGCGAACCGGTGACCTTCTAGCTGCGAGGTAACGGTGCTAACCACTGAACCACCTTGCAGCTAGATAAGAAATACTCCCCTTTAAATTAGCTAACACGCACCAGCCTTAGTATTAAAACCACCTGCAGATCTGCGTGTCGGTCCTACTCAGCTGGATTCTCCATATTCTCTTGGAGGCCCTAACGTTTTATTTTCAGTATATTTTATCACTGATATTTCTCAAATGTTTGCACCATCTCTCTTGCTGTCGTCACAACACAAAATTACCCCGCTGTTGGATTAATAAAGGTTTATTGTATGAAAATAATGTGCCGGCACATCCAGAGCCCGCTGCCTCTGTGGCAGCAGAGAAAACATCCACAGTCACTTCCTCCACTCGAACACGACGCCAGCCCCCAAAGCTAAAACCCAATAACAGCACAATAACACACACTGCCAGGCAGAATTAGGTGAAAGGTAATGCAGTCATGTAAAAGCAGAATAGCCCCATCCGCTGTGTGTGTCTGCATTTGGTGGGTTATTTGATCTGTGACCTCTCAAAGTCACTTTTCACTTCTCTAAACTTTCATCATTATTCACGTATCTGTTCTTCTTCTGCGTTCACCTGCCTCTCTAAATATTCGCCTTCCTCTTCATCCCCACTCGTCAAATCACTGCTCCTGCATGACAGCTATCAGCATGTAAACTACATTTACTAAAGATTTCTGTACACCTCTGCTTTGTCAAAGAACTCGTCGCCTTTCACACAAATGAAATGTCATTTGTGTCTGCATGATATAAATAAAAGTTTTAAAAGAAAAATACGAGACAGCTTCGATTGGGACGGAGCTGGAATGTGCTCCTGATGTGCCGTTAAGTTATGACGGTACGACTTTTTCAAGCAAATTTATCAAAACGAGTGGAATGCTGCAGATGTTCGGCCAGACTCGAACAGGAGAAATGATGAAAAGTAGAGAAAGAGCAGCGGCGCTGACAACGGAGGTGAAATAGATTCCCAATGAAAGCAGAACGAGGAGAAACACGAGCACAGCAGTGACGCAGACATCGACAGAAGTCTGACCTTTATCAGAATAAATGCTCCCAAACTTTGGAGATATCTGGGAAACTGACAGCGTGTGCGTCACAGAGTGGAGAATAATGCAGCGTAAAGCTTCTGGGTAATGACCACAGTAAAATCTGTTAGTTTAAATGTCAAAACACGTCCACTGGCCTCCAAATGAGAGTCTCATTTAAATATAAACAATATTATCCTTTTATCTGAGCGAGGAGCGAGCGAGCCGGAGGTGAGCCGAGACTTTAACGTCGTCAACACACAGCGACAATAAATGATCTCAAAGCAGAGCATCGACCTGTCTGGAGTTTCAGTGAAGCAGNCCAGAAAGACTGACGATGTGGAAATCTGAAAACGTTGTGGATATTTACAGTCTTCTTTTTGACCAGGAAGAGTTAAATTAAGGTGTTTCCGACAACGTACATCCAGTCTCGTTACTAAATGTCCCAACGTGTTCCTGTGTGTTCCAGTAACCTAATTTAACTTCACATCCAGGTAAAACCCTCTGACAGCAACAACATCAACAACAATTTCTATTACGGTAAATAGCGTTTTCCGAGGTTGTTGTGAACGCAGCACAATCCTCACACCCATCAGGAAGTACTTATTGTAATGTTCTTGCACAACAGAAAGTCTTACTGTCGCTTCGTAAACCCCAAAATAGACCTTAAATATCCCAAACAAACAAAGAAAGTAGTTGGCAAACAGTTGAACGTTTAGCAAATAAAGACGCAGATTATTTTTATTTTTTTTCCTCTGTGGAAAAAAAAAACAGAGCAGAGAAGGAGAAACAGAAAAGGAGAATGGATGTTGGATCTACGTTTATCAAGTAGCCAGAAAAACAACTGCAATAAGATGATGATGGTGCTCCATGTGTGCTCGATGGAAAAGCGTCTCCCGTGGGCCAAATTCACCAACGTAGCCCTCAATCTAACTTGGGTGGGCATGTTTGCATTGTTTATTAGATTTAATTGGGGCATTATGACACAGGACGATAATGGCTGCAGTTAAAACAATGACATTGTGGTAAACATTATCCCACAACAGCTGATGGAGGCGCCTTGCGTCACATAAGTCTGTAGATCCCATTCAGAAAGTCTTATAGACATCTTGGTCTTATTATAAAAGAGTTCTTTCACAACTATAAACACATGAAAAGGAATCGACATGTACGAAAACACAGACCTGCCTTTTAAAGTATTTCCAGTCTGCCATCTTCAATTTGAAACCACCGACCTGCTTTTGTTGGAAGTAGGGACGCACATTTTGAACAGTTTCTTTCATCAATGTTCTGTAGAGGCTGCAAGGTGGAGCAGTGGT